GTTATCCGTGCCGAGGACATGGTCCACCTATGCATGTCACATGCCGTCGTATCAGTATCTCGTAGTGGAGCCAGACACGAAATCGCGATGAGGGACCTAACCGTGTCTTTGCAACTTCCTCTTACAGTTGCGGAACACGTTCCGCCATTGACAGTCACGCAATCGACTCTCTCACAATCCTTCCAGCCCACAACGCCCACAATTAACTTCCCACAGTCTCACTCTACAGCTCTCTCTCATCGCGATCCCATCGGCAAGGCTGTTCTCGGCCGTTTCTCGTTGGTGACGTGGGCTGATATCATGGAGGCCGTCGTAATGCAAGTGGTCGCTGGTCGCACTAACCGGCGACTACGAGCGACCTCGGCCCGACTCAGGCGGTTCGCAATACAAGCTTCGCGGTGTTGAGCGCCGTGTGGAAAGTGCCGGGTAACGCGGCGTTGCGCTCCTCGTCATTCCGGGTGGGAATGATCGAATCGGAAGTTGCCGCCGACACTCGCTCGCTGCCTTTTGGTAGGATCTATCATTGAGGCATTTGTAGGCGAGGTGATGGGATGAATAAGGCCGGATCGACTTGCTTGCGAATGCAGACGTCGGTAGTTGATTCGTGTAGATAGTCATTTGGTTTGAAACACGCGATGCTCTTCGTTAGTGATCAAAGTGAGGATGTGCAATAGAGAGATTGGTTGATTGAAGTGACTAGGCAATTTGTGCCTGCCTTGTATGAATTGTGTTTGTGTCTACTATTGCGCGATCTAGCTATGTCTATCATCTATAGCGACTGCTGCAGTGACTCTTGCCGAAATCAGATGAGGTACTACCCAAACGCCGTGCTATGCAGAAAGGAAAGCAAAGAATAGAAAGAGAGAAGAGAGTCAAAAGACATCTACTCCTCGAGCACACCAGTCTCCATCATGCTCTCCCGGAGAGCCTTCTTGTACTCGCGCTCCATGCCGTGCCTGACGGCGTCGAGAACGTTCTTCACAATAGCCTTGGGCTCAAAGCGAGGTGTGGTGCCGCGCTGGTAGACACCAGTCTCGACTAAGATAGAGTACCAGTTTGCGGAGTCGGTGTGCTCGTTGTACTCGTTGGTACCCCTCACATCGGACTCGGGTGTGTCACCTACAAAGTAGACTGTTGAAGGAGCCGAGTTGATGCCGTGGGTGTCGCGACGCCACTCGGCAAGAAGGCGGGTGGCGAATTCGAAGGTGCCAATCTGAGGCTTGCCAAATGCGGTTGTCTTCAGCTCGCGGCCAGTGACAGCCTTGAACATGGCCTCGAGTGAAACACGGAGAGCGCCCATACCAATACGGGTAAGGTCATGCGAAGCACTCCAGACGACATCGTTGTGGGAGAAGAAGACTGGTGGGCCTTCGTCAAAGTTGGCAGATCGGGTTCCGAGACGACCGTTCTTCGACATCAGCAGGTCGAGGATGATCTGCTGATCCGATGCCCAATCGCGAGAATCGGCGAACACGAAAATGGCGTCAATGTCGACCTCAGCGAAGTTGCGGACTCGCGAGTTCTTGTATTCTTCCTCTGTGAGCTTGCGGAAGGGTGTAGTATCTTGGTTGTCTTTGATGATGTCTCCTGGAGTGACGCTGGAGCGGTGTTAGTCGATGTCATGAACAGGTGTTACGGGCGAACTTACACATCCTTAAAGCCGTAGCCCTCAGCGACAATGCGGCACTTCTCGCCCTCGCCTCCAACGACGAGGACGGTGTTGTACTTCTCTGCCATCTCCCTCATGGGTGTGTGGCCGCAAATGAATTGTCCAGGTGATACTTCCATCTCCATTTGCTTGCTGAGTTGCACGCATCGCTCGGCTTCAGTCTTGCCACCACCGTTTGTAACGAAGATGTATGGTACAACAATGCCGTACTCGTTCTCACCGTTGAGCATCTTCATGGCTTCAACGGCTTCTGGGATGGGTCGTCCACCTCGGATGAGGACACCATCGATATCTAGGATGCGTTAGAAAAGACATGCTTTACCATGGTGACTAACATACCAAAAGCGAAGGCGTATTTGTCCGTAACTGATGTCTCTGGGGGGGTGTAGCCAGGAGATCCAGGGGTGTTGGCAGCGTCAAGGTGATGTCTGGCGGTCTCGAAGGCACTGGCGATCTCTGATGCTTTTGATGAGGGAGCCATGAGATGTTGTGGGGGGACGACGACCGTTGGGCCCATCTTGATGTTGTCGCTGGTAGCCTCACTGGCAGAGAGGCGACGCACGCCCGTTGAAGGGGCTGCTAGAGAAGGTGCCGACATGGTGATGGAGTGTGTGGAGTTTGGGTTCGAGGAAGTTTGCAACGTGTGTTTGTTGCAAGAAGCTGTACAGTTGTGGTCTGAGCGAGTTCGAAAACGCTGGAAGTACAACAGCCTTTATAGTTTGCGAGCCCGATAGATAGGTAATGTCTCCAGAAAACCCCTCAAAGGAAGCGGAGAGAACTGTGGGTATGTGGGTAAGTGGATATGTGGAGGTGGGTTGATGGTTGGTTTACGCGCAGATACCCAGAGTTTTATACCGAAGAGACAAGGTAGTCTGTACTTCGCCCCCTACACTACTCAAACGTCCACTGCAACTCTAGCGGCACGGTACACTGCGCTTCTGCGTAAATGTGCCGGACCCTGAACGATAAGGGTATGGCTTGGGATTCTGTTGGATGGCATTGCGTAGATCTATGGCGTCACTCGGGCAGATTGAGGGCAAGGGACGGTTTTGCAACACCGGAATTCGATAGCGGTAGGGAGAGCCCAGGCGTGCGCTTTTGACATGTGGTGAGAGATTGTGGCATGTTTCTCGATGCCCATTCGACAAGTAGTCTGGTAATGTTGCAATAATAGTGGGTATGACAGTCACGGTACAGGGCCTCCTGCATCTCAGGCGGTCTCAAAGTATTGCCGTCCCATGCGCGCCATGTGGTAGACGGCCGCGGTTGGTGTTGCTGTGGAACTGTGTTGCAGAGTTTTGAGGGTCTTTTGCGCTAGTGATGTCATATCTGATTAGCTCGCATATCGCTTCGGCGCCTTGGAACAGCCATTCGAATCGGCTGGGGCATCCGCAAATGAAGAGCCTCAGGGACTCAGGGCAGGCGATGCTGATGAGTCCATCTGAAGTCTACCAGCTCCGATCGATAGCTCCTGGTTTCCGGCGAGAACCATCCGGCCGACAATTATCGCCAAGTATCGGAAGCTAGATGAGGCAACTTGAGGCTCAAACGTAGGCTATCTCGGCAGACATGCCAATCCGTCTTAGGCTCTTGGGCTCTTAGCCTTCGTCCGTCGTCACCATATTGAAAACCGACCTCGACTGAATAATACAGCATCGATAGAGACGAGACACAAGTGCGATTCCATGCGCGGGCCTTATCGCTACCTTTCACATGTCGAATGAGACGACTGACGCACCTCTCTTCCGAGTGTAGGCGCGTGCATTGAGCCATATCTCCCCAGCTTACATGCGGTGGGCCGCGAGTAGAACCAGTACCCACAGGCATAGTCTCAGGCCATAGCGCTTGACGTAACTGTACATGAATGTACACCGCAACTGGCGGCGCATGTGCAGTATGGACTGCGGCGCCAGGAAGCATGTATGCCATCATTCCGCATTATAGGATCGGGCTGCCATTGTGGATATGGGTGGTATTACCTCAAAACCAAGCTCAACACCTGGTATAGCAAATTACAAAAAGAACCCCTCGAGAACGAAAGCTGAACGACTGTTGACGATTAGTGGTTGGCGTAGTGGATGTAGATTGAGGCATTTGGGTGGGAACGCAACACGAGTGCCTGGTCAGTTTGGGAGAACACATTTAGCGGCCAGTCAAGTCACGCATCCTGTGCACATTGGCGCTTTCAGAATGCCGCAAGACCCGTTTAGGACCGGAATGCCCTCTGCAAGGGGCAATGATCTGAAGTAGCTCCAGCATTATGCAGGAAGCGCACTTATCGCGACCGGTGTTTTGGCTGCGAATTCTAAAGAGATGGATGAACGGGGTTTCGTTGGAGGTGGTGGACCTTTGTATGGGGCCATGGTCGTCGAGCACGTTCTTCTCCACCTCTCCACGATTTCCCCAGGAGTTGCCCCAAAGTTTTTGAGTTGTGGATAGCTCTAAAATCGGCTTTGCAGAACTCAAGGCCCTCGCATATGTTGCTGTATGTGTTGAAGATGGTGTAGCAGCGCGATGATCTTTTAGGTCCCTTCTCCACCACCCTCTGGCCATTAATGTAGAAGATTTTCTACACCCACGGGGTTCCCGTCGCAGGGTCTCGGCACATCTGCGGCGGTCCACTAGTTTTGCGGAGGGAAGATGGAAGAGGCGCTGATCGATCAGGAGATTGGACCCTCGCATCTGTAGTCGTTTTGCCGCCGGCACGACAGATCCGAGCATGAGTCGTGCAAGACACTCGAGCTGTACAGCTGAGTCTAACCGAGGAAGATGAGTAGGCCAGCGCTACGAGAGGCGGAGTGACGTGCTGCAGTTGTGTTGCAGCTTCGGGGTTCATGAGGGTGACGTGAGAGAGGAGCCGCTGAGGGGAAGGAGCAGCCCATCGCCAGTCGGCAAGCGCGCGCGCAGCACCTGGGCAACTGCAACGCGCAAAGTGCTCATCCCCCAAGCACAACCCAAGATATGCCCTCCATCGGCCCACACATATCCAGGACAGCGACAGGAAAACTTTTGACGCGTTCGAATATGAACTGGACAGGTGGCTCGCTACAGCGCACCAAGAAAGCCAACACGGGCGTGGTCCAACAGCAGAAAGCATACTTTGCCCGAGCGCGGACACAGCTTCAAAATGATACTAACTCTCCCGTCGCTCCATTTCGCCCTAGCTATTTGCAAGACGATGGAGACTCCTACCTTTTAGGCATAGCACCATCTGGCTCAGGCTCTCTGCGACACACGGGGCACGCAGCGAAACGTCGCAACGAGAGAAAGCAGCCTGAGCACACGCCAGGCAACTATCAGCCAACCGCAAAACGCCGTGAGACAACGCCCCATGGAGAATCACACCCAAACGATCGGCTTACTCATAAAGGTAGTAGTGACGGCTCGTCACTCTTGCCCAAGTGACCGCAGATACTAATAGATAGATAGACTTGCGTGACGGAAAACGCAAGGCCTCCGAAGCCGATACGGAACTGCACTTACTCGAAGCGAATAGGAAGAGGCTCTTAACACAGAAAGACTGGGTCGGCATCGACCCATCGAAGCCGGTCAGTCTGCGGTTCCGCTTGAGCAGAGAGAAGAGCAAGATCGGCAAGCGCAGAAGAACGACAAGAGGACGCGGTGCAGCCCCAAGACGAAAGAACAAGGATGAATTCAGGAATGAAGTCCATGACTTTGCAGACGATTCCTTTGCCCAAGTCCATGGAGATAGTGGTCCACGCCAGCGTCTAGATGATGTTCGAATCCGGATTGGCACAGATGCAATGACAAACACTTACTCTACACAATTGGACCAATATGCGCAGTCGCATGCTTCGTCTGAATCCATGCTTTTCGACCAGGAAGGACCGCTTGCACAGCTACGCTCAGCGAAGCCACCTGCCGACCTTGAGCTTCTTGCAGCAACTAGTGCTTTCGAGCAAGCTGATGTTGCTTCCCGTGCGCCATCGACCGGTGAACAACCTCAGCACTATGGCCTTGCTCGGCGCAGTGTAGCTAGTCCTTCTCCAGACGCTTCTGAGCAAAAGAGCTTTACGGGTGACCAGTTTGAGCTGCAGTGTCAACCTGCGACGATGACTTTCCGTGAAAACGAGAGCTCTACGCATGACTTCCGACTCACACATCATGCTTACGGGGAAGAGCGCGCATTTCGTCTCGCCTTCAGCGGCTCCAACTCTACTGCAGGTGCCCGTGGTCGCACTGCATCGGATGGCAACCAGATCGGTGAGACAAAGCCTTTTGACGATCCAGACTCGGTAGGTGAGTCCAAGACGGGATATGTGCATCAGCACAATATTGATAGGGAACGATCAGTCGGTGTTGACTTTTCTGCTGCCAATACAATCGTCGATGAGGGCCCCTGGAAGACGTATCTCGCAATCTCCGATGGTTCAAGCCACTCCGACAAATCCATTCAATCCAGAAGCAGCGTCCCGCATAATTACCCCGCCAAGAGACATAATAACGAAGCTGCAATGGACTGGTCACAGCATGCCACTCAAGGTCAGGGCAACGAGAGTCGCATTAGCTCGTCCTCCGTTTCCGCCTCTTTGCCGTCTTTGAAGAGAGGTGTAAGAAAACCAATATCGGCGCATGCCTCCGACATGGCCCTCATTCGTCGGGACAGACCGGTCAACGCTGCTGTGCAAAGTCTGGACGAAGACGAGAAGAATTGGCGAGCGTTTGTTTTTCAGACCGACGATAACGATCAAGGAATGCATGATCATGCATGCAAGACATCCCCGCTGGTTCCAAAGTACTCGGAGAATTCATCCTCAAGGTGTCTGCCACTATCTCGTGCCGTCAGCTCTGTGAGCCCTGCAACGTTCGAGTCTAGACCTCAAATTGCTTCTGGCACGGGCTATGACGCCTTGGAATCCAGAGCTTTAACGCCATCACCATTCCTCAACGACGATTCATTGGGACTTGGTGGATTTGTTGAGGGAGTGAGCGGGAATAAGCAGGGCGAGAAGATGTCGGGTCGCAAAGTGTTCGACGGGCAGTCCCATGCATCTCTGCAGAACCACGCTTCCTCAGACATCATCTCCTCAAGGGTCTTCAGTAGCACAAAAACGTCCCGGAACCTAGATGGACATGCCAGCGCCGTTGCACAGCATCCAACATGGTCGAACAGACGTATATTGCGCGGAAATTCGCAAGGGTCTTCCTCTGGCTGCGATATCCTGACGAGCGATGATGGGGCACTCCACCTCGTCGATCCTAACAAACGTTGACAAGGTACATGCTGGTTGGCTGTCTCAGTGCGGACGCGGGATGCCTGAGGCTGAAATTTGGTGGAACGTTTCGGCTCTTCCTGTAACATGGATTCGCCATTTCATGCCTATCGATATCGCAACGTAGTACCGTGGTAGGCTAACAATCGGCGTGCGACCTACTGCCATGAGCGAATCAAAATATTTTATGGGGCCTACATGTTCTCATTGGCGCAGAATGTGTACGATGGGCAGTTCATGCCGCAGTCCGGTAGCATGAGCTCAGCTCAGCTCATGGACACAATAAGATTCCGATCGTCCGCGCTGCTCAACATCCGGACAGCATCGGCAGCGCAAACATGGAGCAGCAGAGTGATGCAAAAGCTCAATGCAGAAAGCCATGTGAAGATAGCGATATGAATATGTGGAGGCACCCTTCGCACGGGGAATGGGTACAGGGCACTGGATGCATGGTATCTTGGCCAGAGATGCATGTCATCGTTGCAAATGTTTCGAGCAGGCTCAGAGCAGGTGGGGCTACGTGCAGCGCTATTTCGGGTGAGCCCTACGAGTTGTGACAACACAGTGCCGGCCATCCTTACTTAGCGAACGGCAACGACGACAACGGCGAGCCTACCGGATATGTGTCCGAAGGGCTACGAGAGGCCGCTGGTGCCCAAGGGCCGAATGCGGTGACACGACATCAGGGCATGAAAGGAATCAAGGCATGAAAGCGGCAGCTCAGAATACCTACTGCGCGTCAAAGAAACGATTGGACAAAGCGCAACGATGGACTTTGATGCATCACACCGCCCCAAGTCACATGGACAGAACGAAAGTGGAAAGCCCGGCACGTTGGCATCGTGTACTGTTGATGTGCGGGGGCGTCGTGGTTTGATTGGCAGCAGGGCGCCAGGGGCAGGAATCCTTCCTTCTCGAAGCTGTGGAAAGTTTGTGGAACAATCACGCGACTCGCAGTGGCAGGGCGATGCGGATACGAGCATTGGGCGCACCGCATTGTCGCGCCATTCTTTGTGAGGAGCGGGACGTGCTGGAATTGTGAAGCAGCCGAGTCGGCTGCAGCAAATTGAGGGGCCAGCAGAAGGTTGGAGGGCGTCGCCGGCGGATCCCTGACTCTGCGCCGGCCGTCAGAAGCCGGCTATGATGATGGAACCGTTGTGCCGGCTTCGCACTTGGGTTTCACTTGCCCGCGCGCCACGTGTGAGAGATGGGGGATTCCACCGCCACACATGGGGCGTTTGCACCGGCGATGCGACTGGCTGGCGGTTTGTTTCCAGCGACCGTGGGCGGAATGCAGTACACTCATTGCTTCGTGTGACTCGGACTCACCGTCTTGCTGTGCCAGGCCAGTCAGAGCTAGTATACCGCGCGCACACGATGTAGCAAACATGACGACGGCGCATCAAAGTTTTAACAGGCCAGCGCAACATACCGGTGAGTCAAAGTTGATCGACGACACACGAACCGAACAGCATCAGGGCCGCTGAGGTTGCTTCTTCGTGCAGCCATGCCATGCCCGCTCCGGAAGGCACGGCATCGTGACAATGGGCGATGGATCAGACTATGGAGCATGGCTCCCTGTGATGCAACTCGGTGGACAATGAACAAGAGCAGAACATGCACTGCCCTGTCATCGCATTGTGCCATGCTGCCGCGCTGGGTGCCTGTGGAATGCCGTGGCCGTGATCCTCAGGCGTCGAACGGTGAGACGTGATGATTGGCGGACCCCATAGTATAACCATGGGCTGCGTCATACAGGACACCGTTGCTCAGTGGGGCCTTAACCAGTGTCGCGGCTCTCGCAGTCGAGCGCTAGGCCAGGAGACAAACAGGGAAGTGCCCTCGGAGCCCGAATTGAGCGGAGGCGGATGGAAGCCCGAATGACTAGGAGTCAAGGGATAATCGTGTGCTTGTAAGATTTAGCTGAAAATTCGGTGAGCGCCTTGTCTGTTCCTGGCCCAAAGACGGCCGCCAAGCGCAGCCGTTGCCCATATACTACTACCTGTCTGCCCTACAGCCCACTCCTCTCGCACACTATCCACCAACTATCCACACTACGTCCAATTGCAGACGCACAAGACCCTCACACCACCGACAATTCACCACCTCACTCACGATACGCCGCCTCACCACACCCTTCTCCGCATTTCCTGCAGCGCCCACTCGCGCGCTGACTGATTTTCGCCCGCCCTGGTCTGCCGACGCGATTCGCTTGCAACCCCCACGACTGCTCCGGAGTACTCAGATCCTAAATTATCCATGCAGAGTGCATGCAAGTCAATTCTCCAGTAATCCCAGCTGACCTGCGTCTGCATCTTCGCGCAGCGCGCGCTTCCCAAGCCCGACTCGTCATAGCCCAAACGCATTCCGTCAGTCTCACGATGCGAAGCTGCTCCTAGCCTACGCTTTTCCACCAGGACCCAGCAGGCTGTTGATCCTGTCTGCTTTTATTACCCAGAGGCGCCCGCTCGCCGTTACGCTCCTTCTCCCTCACCACGGCCCGCGCCATGAAGATTTACTAGCCCGCCCCGTCACATCCTCTTGCTTGTTCCACACCACCAACCATGTCGCTGCTGCACGACGCCATCTCGCGACCGCGCATGCCCTCGCCCTCGCCCAGCTTCGGACGCGCCATCACCATACCCGCCCGCTCCAGTCCCGCGCTGACGGCCTCGTACCTCAATGGCTCTCTCAATGGCTCCCTGCAGTCCACGCCCGAGGGCATGGTGCCCGTCTCGTCCTCGCTGCCGGCCATTCCCTCCTACACCCTGCCCGAGTCGCTCCTGCCTCCACCACCCGTCCAGTCGCCGCCCACGTCCTCGCCGTCAGCCATGGCCGAGGCTCTAGGAAAGGGACCGGGCCTGATCCGCAGAGTGAGCCGCGGCGCGCAGGGCATTCCAGGTCGCTTCCGCCGAGGCAATGCGTCTGCGCAGCGCGACAAGAGCTCCGGCCCCGTCATCATGCGCCGCCGCAGCGACAGCAGGACTGCCGCCGACGCCGACACTGGCATCTCCGACTTCGACGCCTTTGAAGAGGAGGAAGCTGTAGAAGACCCCTTTGAGCCCATCCACGGCCTCGGCATCTCACACCCAACCCCCAGCTTCAGCTCGATACCAGACGCCGCCGTCGTCGCCCCCGTACGCAACTCGCGCCTTGAGCAAGGCACCGTTCTGAGAAAGATTACCAAGAAGGAGAAGAAGGAGATCAACCTGCGGCTCGATCTGGAATCGGCCAAGGTGTTCTGGGATTCCTCGCGCCCCTCCAAAGCCTTCTACATCGACGATGTCAAGGAGATCCGCTCAGGTCCGGAAGCTAAGCACTACCGCGAGGAGTGCAACCTATCCGAGAACTGGGCCCCCTACTGGTTTACCATTGTCTACACCGACACAACACGCTCCAAGGGCCGGATACGAACGATGCACTTGATTGCGCCTGACGTTGGCATCTTCAACATGTGGACCCAGACGCTCGAGTCTGTGTCGCGCAACCGCATCGACCTGATGGCCGGCCTCTTGGGCTTTGCCGACAAGAGCGCAAAGCTCGTCTGGCAACGCGCAATGAAGAAGCGTGGCGAGGGCGACGAGACACTTGACTTCCCCAGCACCGTCGAGCTGTGCCGAAGTCTACACATCAACTGCACCGAAGCCACCCTTCGCGCCTACTTCCAGAAAGCCGATACCCTCGACGCTGGAAAACTAAACCAATCGCAATTCTTGTACTTTGTGCGCCGCCTCAAGGAGCGCAAAGACATCAAGGCGATCTACAAGACCTACACGTCTGGCTCAAAAATTGAGATGGACAAGTACACTTTCTTCGACTTTCTGCAGCGCGAGCAAGGCGTAGACGTGAACGCCGATCTCGAATACTGGACCAACACCTTTGAGAAGTTTGCGCGTGCAACAAGACCCAGGATGGCTGCTACTCCGACCGAGGGCGGAGAGGTCCCATTGCCATTGGCCATGAACTTCCCCGCTTTCCAGACGTACCTGACTTCGGCTGCCAACTCCATCCTCAAGCCAGCCGGCCAGCCACAAGAACTCAACCGACCATTGAACGAGTACTACATCTCCAGCTCACACAACACTTACCTGCTCGGCCGTCAAGTTGCAGGCGAATCAAGCACTGAGGCGTACATTACTGCGCTTCAGAAGGGCTGCCGATGCCTTGAGATCGACTGCTGGGATGGCGCCGACAACATTCCGGTCGTCATGCACGGCCGCACTCTGACCAAGAGCATCCTCTTCCAAGACACCATCAAGGTCATCAACAAGTACGCCTTCACAGAATCACCCTACCCAGTCATCCTCTCGCTTGAGGTGCACTGCTCTCCGGTCCAGCAGTCTGCCATGGTCAAGATCATGATGCAGGAGTTTGGTGACAAATTGGTTCTCCAGCCACTAGACTTTGAGTCGCAGTCGCTACCCTCACCAGAAGAGCTGAAGCACCGCATTCTCATCAAGGTCAAGCGTGCTGCTGGCGATGAAATCGACACCAGGGCTCTCATGGGCGAGATCACCTCCCGAAGACAGCGCAGCTTCAGCTCTCCGTGGTCGAGACCCGTGATACTGAACGACAACCTCATCCCGAACTCGCCTCTTCTTTCCAGCCCGCCTTCAATGAGCCCACCAGAGCGAGCAGCATCCTTCTGGGCAACACCCCGAACTTCAAACAACACGCTACCCACCTCCGCAGCTGTGAGCTCAGCTGAAGACAGCGACAGCCCCAACGCAACCACTGCCGAGACTGCTGAGGTAGTAGATGATCGCCGTAAGCCGAAGAAGGCCAAGACCAGCAACATCACGAAAGAGCTCGGCAATCTTGGTGTCTACACAAGGGGAGTTAAGTTCACAGACTTTGGCAGCATTGACGCAAACACCTTCAACCACGTCTTCTCCATCAACGAGCGCGCCTTCGAGAAGCTCACCAAGCCTGGAGCCCGTGAGAAGCACTTGCTTGAGGAGCATAACATGCGTTGCCTCATGCGCGTCTACCCTCACGCCTTCCGCATCAACTCGTCCAACTTTGACCCCCTCAAGTTCTGGCGTCGCGGCGTCCAGATGGCTGCGCTGAACTGGCAAACTTATGATCTCGGTCAACAGTTGAACGAGGCCATGTTTGCTGGTGGAGAAGACCGCACCGGCTACGTGCTGAAGCCAGCAGCTCTTCGTCTTGAGTCACAGACCCCAGTCATCGGTCACAGGAAGGCACCTAAGAAGGAAGTCAAGTTCACTGTGCAAATCATCTCTGCTCAGCAGCTCCCGCGCCCCCGCGGTCTCGGACAGGAAGCCAACATCAACCCCTATGTTGAGTTTGAGATGTACTGTGCCGAAGACATGGGTGCGAATGCCACCGGTATCGGCGGACAGGACGCATCTGCTCGCAATGGCCACTCTGGCATCGGCAACCCCCTGCGCAAGCGAACACGCATCGTAGAGGGCAATGGTTACAACCCCGAGTTCGGCAACGAGATTGATATGACAGTTACGACCAGGTACCCCAGCCTTGTCTTCGTCCGCTGGACTGTCTGGAACTCGCTCGATGCCCGAACCACCAATCACGCCCCTCTTGCTACATTCACGGCCAAGCTCAACAGCATCCAGCAAGGCTACCGTCATCTCCCGCTTTACGACAGCAATGGCGAGCAATACCTGTTCTCCACTCTCTTCTGCAAGATCAAGAAGCAGGACATTGTCGACGCACCCGAGCCTGC